TATTTTATATAAACCAAATACATTAAAGTTAAGAGAGAAAGCAACACACAGATGTCCTGGAAAAATTTCTAAGCCACAAGGGCAACAAGGAAGAACTGTTTATGAAATACTGCTAACAACGGATGAACGGATCATTTTCTCATATCTCCTTTTCCCGTTATTTCTTATTTATTTTTTTAAAATCTTCTTTTGCATCTTTCAAAATATACAAGCCTCTGTTTTCAGATATCCAGGGAAAGTAGATGACGTTATGCTATTGCTGGCTTTCTTGTGTCCATGTGAGATAGAGAATACTGTGTGAGCCATAAAACAAATTGATGCCGTAATTCATTATTGCTGAAGACGGGCATCATTGTCGTTCAATGCCACAAAGGCCTGGAAATAAGAGTTTCTCAGAAAGGAAAGGCTTCCATGTTACAGTCTCGGCATAGTTGAAGATCACAGCATCAAAGACCTTGGTGGTCATCTAGTCCAGCCCCTGCCAATTTAGGAATCTTTGTTCTCTCACATAGAGTGCATTATTACTGCAAAGATTCAGAGAGGCTTTGACAAATGTGAGGGAAGGAAAACAAATTGGTTGGCAAAGTGTCTTTGTCATGAAATCTATGGCTGAGTTTAATTAAACCAGTTAATCAAGCCATCATTTGGTTCATTGCAGTTTGCTGAAGAAGTTCCCATTGGTTGGGTGCAGGCATCATGCTAAGACATAGATGATGCTTTACAACCCACAGTGATTGTATGCCTATAATATACTACACCATAAACAGAACTCTGCATGTCTGAATCTAGCCTACTTGTCAGCAACATTGGCCAGTTCTGAGGTTACAGAGAGAGATTAGCTATTCAAAAGAGGCACCTGTTACAGGAGTGTCCTGGGGTATGGGCAAAAAAGTCAAGACGGCAGCCACGATGGTGGGGTTGAAGCTCTATTTTTATGTGTGTTGATTTTTTTGACCACATTTTTACTTTTTTGACCACATTCTGTGGACACTCCAACCTGTTACTAAGATGGATAGATTTACCTGTATTCTTTCTCTCCTCATCCTGAACCTCTACTTCTCCACAGCTTTCCCAAATGTTTCTTTTCTTTTTCTTTTTTTCAAATTTCTCTATTTTTGCCCGTTCAGCTTTAAAGTTTATTAGGTTATATGGGCAAATCATTTTTCCCCCTCTCTCCTAATCTTCCTCACAGGGTTGCTGTGAAGATAAAACAGTGTTCAAAGGCAAACCAGTCCAATGAGAAGGAATGTGCAAACACTAAAAATGTGTAGGAGTGGGAAAGGACTGGAAGTGAAACAAATGTGGGTGGGGGGTGGGGATTAAAATAAATAAATGGTCCTTCTCCTACACCCTGATAAAAGGTTCATGCCTAGAGATTTGCAAGAAAATAAACAACTCTCTCTGCAAATTTTCTATTTGGACTGTATATTAACGTTAATGTCGCAGATGTGGGAGCAAGCCATACCATTGAATTGTTTTTTTACGCTGATCCACTTGATTATTTTGTTACAATATAAAGACCATCATAAACAAATGCACTTTTTCAATGTTCTCATTCTCGCTGCAACTTAATACAACAAAGGATATTCCCTCCCCGCCCCCCTCCTTCGAAATGCCCAACTCCTTCCGATCCCCTACTTTTTATTTCCACCCTGGGTGCGCAAACCCTCCCTGGTTGGGTTCCGAGCGCCAAAGAAAGAAAACACGTGAAATACTTTCGAGGGTAGATCCTTCGGTCGAATCGTCCAAGCTCCCGGGAAAATCTCTTCCGGCTCGCATGGGACAGGCTCAGCGTCCTCCCGGGAGGGCAAACCCCCCACCAGAGCCTCCGCGGCGCGCGTTCTCACGTGCAAACCCCTCCTCGCCCAAAGCAAGCCGCTGACCAACGCCCAAGCCCGCGAGGCGCCCGCCCGCCTGCCTGCCGGCCGTCCGTCCCTCCGCTACCCCCTCGATGCCCCCCTCTTCACGGGCTATATGTGGCGTTCGGAAACTCTGACAGCCCCCTCCAAAGATTTCCCCTATTTGTTCAGACTCTTCCAAGCGGAGGGACGAGGCAGGCAGGCAGCGGCGCGCGTGGCGGGCGAAGGCTGCCCGCGGGCGATCGCAACCCAGCACCTTCAACCCCCAGGCGCAGCTCGAACGCCCGGCGGCGCAGCCTCTCCTGCCCAAGAGTTCGTCAGGATGAGACCGAAAGAGAAGCCCGCTCCGAGCCCCCCTGGAAAAGAGAAAGGCGGCGCCTCTGGCAAGGAGACAGCAGCAGCCACGGACCAGAAGAGCTGCCCCGGCGATGCCAAGGCGGGCCAGGAAGAGGACGTCCACACGTGCTGTGGCTGCCGTTTCCCGTTGCTGGTGGCTTTGCTGCAACTGGTTCTAGGCGTCTCTATCACAGTCTTGGCCTTCTTGATGGCCGAGTTCAGCCCTTCGCTGCTACTCAGGGAGACTCCATATTGGGCTGGCACGCTTGTAAGCATTCCAGTCTGTTTCTACCATTCCAGGCGCCGTCCCCACCAGCAATGTCGGCTTGCATGGGCCGCTGCCCCGCAGACTAACCGACTGCATGCGCTGCTCCGCCCGTGTTGGTCTTGGTCTCAGCTAACCAGCTCCGCAGGGGATGATGGGTTGGGTGGGTAGGTGGGTGGTTGAGACGGTACAGGTTCTAAGTAAATGGATGTGGCACCATAGACTCTGGGCTGGGGAAAAACACCTAGATTTCTTCTTTGCTTGCTCTACGTGTGCATACTTATCCCAGTTGCACAACTAGGTTAGCTGGAAAGGGGTCTCTTTTGTGCCAGGCTGCCTGCAGGCCCCCAGGCAGATCAGATATAGGCGTGAACCTTTTAAAGGGCATTCCCCGATCTCCAGCCTGGGGACCCAGGGAGGTGAATTTTTATGTTGAGTTGGAAATATGGCTGTGATAGTGGGTTCTTGCGCACAACGCTTGGCCGTTTGCTGAGTTTTGAAAACTGAAAAAGAACCTTTATGCAAAAAGCAGGGCCTGGGTTAGAGGGGACCCCCAGACTGGAAAGCACCAGCCGTATGGTATCTTGGGGGCCTGGTGCCATGAGTAGAAAGCCAGTAAGGCAATTTGTCATCGCGTAGACACGTGATGCCACACGGATTCCAGCATGCTCATCTCAAGCTTGGTCGTATCTCGGAACTGATTTATGTTGATTAAATATGGAGTGGGGGGAAAGTGAGGCACGTATGCGGAGTGTAACTTGAGCATCTTTTCTATATATATTTGATACATCCAGGCCTGTGTTCTGCTCAGCAGTTGAGTTATTTGCTGACACATGTGACTCCATCTGATTATAAACCGATGGAGTCTCTGCACCTCCCACTTTATTTAATTTGACGGTTGGCCCACAAGGCTGTGTTTATTCTATTAGCTAGAGGCACATCTAATGGGACAAGTAGAAAATGAGGATGGGGGTTAGCCCGTGTTCTGTCTTTATTTTCCTTCCCCCTACCCACTCCCATCCATGATTGAAAATTAGGGCAAAATCATTTTTCTGCTATGCCCCCATGGCATTATCTTCATCTCATCCCCAGCTCATGCTTAGTTGTATGGGTCTTAAAGTAGTATTTTCTCCCTAATTTGAACACCATTCCAGGCCAGCCAACTGCATCACAGTCCTTTGCTCTTGGCAAGTGAACTCCAAAACATGTGGAAAACATCAGGTTACCTAACCCCATTCTCCATACTTCTGAAATCCTTGTAACAATCTGATGAAAGAGGGTATAGGCTGAGAAATAATAAGTGTTCCATTCATAGTTCAGTGGATATTGAAACTGAGATCTTGAACAGTCAGTCAGTGCTTTATGGTGGTCGATGACCAGAATACCACTGAAAAGAGGTAGAAATTAAAATTTACAAAATAAAAGAATATAAAAATAAACAATAATTAGTAAATAATATGATCAGTTACAGCAGGTTTTACAAACAATAAAATGACATCTGGCCATGTTCAAAGAACTGGATCATATGGGTTGGCTAACAACAATTGTAGGTGAAATAAATCTGAATGACCTGGAAATTTAATTAATAAGGGAGATATAAAACGTAGCCATGCATTTTTATGAAATGGCAGTGCAGCAATACGTGAATGGTATTTTCAACCACAAGGACAGAGTTTTAAAGAATAAGGGGTTTTTGTGAACTTTCCTTCAAGGACAGCTGTTGGGAGTGTGTTAAAATGTTCTGGGATTAGTTCTCTCCTAAATTTAGGGATGGATATGTGGTTTAAATATCTTGGATGTCTGAAAAATGGAGACTAGCGATGATACAGAATATATTTTATATAGAACATATATATAAAAATGGAGACTAGTGATGATTGTAGAACATATATATTCTACAATCAGTACACAACTACACATTGTTTAAGGTCTTAACAGATGCCTGCAGACATGAAAATTGTGAGATTGTCCCAGATCAAAACAGAAAGGCTCAGAAGAGCCCATTGCCAAAATAGTGGAGATGGGGTGGCGGCGGGGGGGGGGGGGAACAGCTGCATTTACCAATCTTACC